GCCGGGGCGGGGGAGGATGGGGTTTCCCAACCTGGCCTTCCTGCATCCGCTCCTGGCATCGCCCATCCCCGGGAGCCGCGGTTGCGGGCAGAGCTGGGCCCCCAAAACCAGCAGAGGCGGGAGGGTGCGTGTCTCACCCAGGGAACGCTGTGGGCCACCAGAACCAGCCAAGTGGGAAGGGCGGCAGAAGGAGATGCTGCCAGGAAATTCTCCTTCCCTTGGGATTAGCAGGGATGGCTACCCCTCGGCACTCCCCACCTTAACTGCAAGACTCATGGCACTGGGGGGGGGAAAAGACGATGGGGGCATCGCCAATCCGGTGGTGGCAAACTGCTCCGAGCGGGGAGGAGAGGAGGAAAAGCCTCAGGTGGTTATAGGCAGGGTGAGAAAATACAGAGAAGAAGGAAGGGTAGGGGTGGGAACAGAGCCGCCAGCTCGGGCTGGGGGGGACACTCGTCCATCCACAGAAAGATTTAAGTTTACATCCACTCCGGTCAAGGCGCGGAGTAGGCCTATACCATCCCGGAATACAGTGCTTGGATGTCCCCGATAGACGCAGACAGGGGACGGGGTCTGAGCTGGTAGGAGCAGGGGTCGCTGACCAAGGTGGGTAGTCTCAGGCCTAGGTTAGCAGCCCTCTTTGTGACCGTGGAATGTCCGGAGTCCGGAGCCGCTTCAGCAGGGATGCGGCAAGTGGGCGAGGTGTACGAGCGACGGACTCGCGCGTCAAGGCGTGTGGGATGGCCGGGTATTGCCGGGACGGGATGGGAGCGGCGGGTTACCGGCCAGAGCGCTGGCAGGGAAAAGCTAAGGACCAAGGAGTGGCAGAGCTGTGGGGGGTGTGTGGCAGGAGAGAGGGGCGGAATGGCAGGGAGCGATGCCGATCAGGCTCTCCGTTAGAGAGGTGGCATCAGCAGGACGTTGAGTGAGGAGCCTCCGACTGGAAGGGCAGGGAGCACCGCGCGTCTCAGCAGCACTGGAAGGAGTTGCTGGGGGCCAGAGTCCGGCCCGAGGTACGCGGGGACTGGTGCAAATCTGACTCTCTGTTCCCTGAAAGACACAGGGTGTGCTCTGCACTGCCTAATTTATGACAAGGTGTTTGTGTGGGCAAGGAGAGAGAGAGATCCGGGGAGATAGGATGATCTTAAATTACTTTTTCTCTTTTCTCTCTTCTACAGTGAACCTCATGCCCTGAATCTCCAAGGGAACCTTTCAAAAGGATCTTCCCCTCCCTACCATCTCCTTATTGTTTGCCAGCTCTGCCCTGTGCTGCGCAGGGAAGCTTGAAAGAACAGGCTGAGCCCTGGAGGACAGCAAAAAGGACGATGTAGTGAGGGTGCCGTGAGGCCTTGGATAGGGAACCCTCTGGATCTCGTTCCTCACCCTTCTCTCTCCGCCGATGGCTCTCTGACAGGAGACCCTTGGCAGGAACCTCCACCTAGCCACGTGCGTGGCATTTGGGGAGAGGGGGATTACACACGGCGTACGCGTCCCCCTCCCTGTTTCCACGGGACCTTTCTCCTGCCTTCTGTCATCTCTGAAACTCTTGGCTAGCTCCTCGTTCCCTAGGACGCTGGGCAGCAGGCACTACTACCAAACTGTTTGGAGTCCCCAGCAGTCCCTGTTTGCCCGTGGCCTTCACCAGCGCTGGCGGAAGGTGGTCCCCGAGGCAGAAAGTGCCCGGGGGGCACATGAAGTGAGGAGAGCTTTTTCTTTGGGGGAAGAGTGGAGGAAAGAGATGAACTAGATGGGGAGGAAAAAAAAAAAGTGAGCCCAAGCGAGTGAGGGAAGAAGCGCTGGCAAGAGTTCATGAGAAAGAAAGGTGGGAGAAGGAAAAAGAGAGAACAAGGGCAAAACCAGGTGGAAAAGTTAGGAGAAGGGAAAGAAATACAATCAAACAGAAGGGAAAGGGAGGACTGAAAGCGAGACCCAGTTGTCGGCTGTTCCACCCAGCACGAGGTGGCGATGCCTTGAGGCACCGCTCCAGCGCGCGCGCACCTCGCGTCGCAGCAGCAGATGAGGAGGGACGCGGCTGCCCCAGCGCAGAGCCCCACTCACCCTCGTACACGAGCCCAGCGGCGGGGACAGGGGGCAGCCTAGCAGGGGGCGGCAGCATGGGGGACTCTGAATCAGAGTCCACCTTGCACAACAACTCGCTCTGGTGGCTGGCATGTGGGATGTTAGCCCTGTTGGCCAACTCTTGGATTATTCTCAGCATCACGGCCAAACAACAGAAACACAAGCCCCTGGAGCTCCTGCTGTGCTTCCTTGCTGGGACCCACATCCTCATGGCAGCAGTACCCCTCACCACCTACGCCGTGGTGCAGCTGCGGCGCGAATCCTCCGACTACGACTGGAATGAAAGCATTTGCAAGGTCTTTGTCTCCACGTACTACACCCTGGCGCTGGCCACCTGCTTCACGGTGGCCTCCCTTTCCTACCACCGGATGTGGATGGTGAGATGGCCAGTCAACTACCGGCTGAGCAATGCCAAGAAGCAGGCTCTGCATGCCGTCATGGGTATCTGGATGGTATCGTTCATCCTCTCCACCCTGCCCTCCATCGGCTGGGCACAACAACGGCGAGCGCTACTACGCCCGTGGCTGCCAGTTCATTGTCAGCAAGATAGGGCTGGGCTTTGGAGTCTGCTTTAGCCTCCTGCTGCTCGGAGGGATTGTCATGGGCTTGGTGTGCGTGGGCATCACCTTCTACCAGACCCTGTGGGCTCACAGAAGACGCCGGCAGTGCCACCATCAGAGGGCAGAGGAAGCATCGTCCTGCTCTTCATCAGCACACGCCACTTTCAATGTGCCGGCCATTGTCGTGGAGGATGTACGAGGCAAAAGGAGGTCCTCCCTGGATGGCTCCGAGTCAGCCAAAACCTCCTTGCAGATGACCAACCTCATCAGCGCTATTGTCTTCCTGTACGACACGCTCACTGGGGTGCCTATCTTGGTAAGCAGCGAGTTCTCCTTTTCCTCTCACAGAACCCGCAGTTAAACGAGGTTTCTGTTTCTCTCAAGTTTCAGAAAAGACGTTCCGTCTTCTGTTCACCAGCCGCAGAGTCGCTGCGTCTGAATCTGTGTTATTCCGAGGGACCATTTTAAAAAGATTGAAGTAGTTCCCTCATCCTTCCACCTCAGCATTTTCTTAGGACAGGTCTAAGCCTGGGGAATACACACTGCACAGCCGAAACCCCTGTGAAAGTTTTAAGTGGCTAAGAGGAGACTGGAGAGGAAATTACTCTGCAGTCTTACCGGGGGTTCTACCTCTCTAAAAACAACGGAGTTGCTATTTCTCCCAAGTCTGCTCCCGAAGAACTGATACGTCAGCTTTAAAAGCTGTCACAGACAGTTTTCTTTTTCCTTCTGCTTGTATGGTTGTAGTCAGCATTCAGGTTTTGGCTGGCTGGTTGATTCCCTGCAAAACTGGAGCGCTGGGAAAGTTCTCAAAGGGAACCATTAGGAGAACAGAGGCTTAGTCACAGCTTTTTTCCAGCGGCTGTGTTCTTTGTTAGCACCTATTTAGCTCTAGCTCGTAACGAGCCCGGCGAGGAAGGGATGCTAACGCCAGGTCACACTTCGAGGTACGGCAGCTCAGAATATGCTCCAGCAAACCTGGGGCGACACCAGGAATAATTTTTCCGAGGGGCATGGGGTAATTAGCTGATGAATCCTTTACTGACAGATTACATTCTACTACAGAATTGAATCCCGTTATCCTTCTCCTTTGTTCCCTGCTTCTTGTCTTCTTCCTCGGTCTCGTTTCTCTCTCTTACCCCGAAGGTCGTGAGCTTTTTTAGCCTGCGCTACGATACGGCCCCCACCTGGATGGTTCTGGCTGTGCTCTGGTGCTCCATGGTGCAGACCCTGCTGCTCCCCTCCTTCATCTGGTCCTGCGAGCGCTACCGAGCAGATCTCCGCACCGTGTGGGAGCAGTGCGTGGCTATCATGTCTGAGGAAGACGGAGACGATGGTGAGCGCCACCGTCACCTTCGCTAAACCCCTCCCCAAAAAGACTGCAGAGGAAAGAGGGGTCTGCCGCGGGAAAAGGACCTGCTGGCACTGTTGTGGTGACTAGATGAGGTTCACATTATAGCTTGGAGTGAGGAACCATGAGAAAATTTATTCTGGAGAGGGCTCTGCCACTCACTCGCTACCTTAGGACTCACTAGCGTCCAGGAAATATTAGTGCAACATTCTCCACGGTAGATGGTAGAGACAATGTGTACAGCTGCCAAACCACAAAAACAGTGACACACCGGGCCCCAGCCCAACCCAAAGGTCCAGGTTCTGGCAGTGAGGGATTCCAAACAAGATAGAGGAAACAAGGCAGGCTCTGGGTCCTTTAGTGCTGCTGCAAAGCAGAAAGACAAGGTCCTTGTTCAGAGATGAGCCCCGAGAGCTGCAAGTAGGACAGGAGAAGTAAGGCAAGCGTTAGGCCGACGTCCAGGTTCCTTGATAACGCTCTTCTTCAGGCTGAGAAGTGTTGACTGCCGTTCTCCTCTTTGCCAACAGATGGTGTGTGTGATGATTATGGCGATGGCAGGATCTGCAAAGTGAGATTTGATGCGAACGGTGCTGCAGCCGTGAAGCGTGACTCCCGGGACATCAAGCTGCTACCCATGCACCACATGCTGTTGCCCCAGGACAAGGTGCACTACCTGCAGGTGAGCCAAGAGCTGGCAGGGGCAGCCCCACCACCCCCTTCCCTGTGTGACAGTCTCCCATGCCTTTGTGTCCTATTGACTCTCTTCTCTGAGCCGGCCTCAGCTACCCCCTCCTGTTCTGTCTTTCCAAGTTTTCCATCACCTGACTCCTTCTCCGTTTTCCAGGTCCCTATCTCCCGGAGAATGTCACATGATGAGACTAACATCTTCTCCGCCCACCGCTCCGCTCCATCCTTCCTACACAAGTGGTCTTCATCTGACGACATCCGCATTTCCACCCCCCGCAAGCCTGGAGGCCCTGGTTTCCTGCCTCCTCAGCTGCATGACTACCAGCACCGCAGGGGGCTCCCAGAAGATGAGCTGACGACCCTACGGCAGTTTTTGGAGGGCGGGCTGTTACCCCGGGGCTCCAGTTCCAGCACCTGCTTCTTCCGAGATGAGATCACCACCTTCATCGACGAGACGCCCCAACCCACCCCAGCCTGCAGCCCACGGCATTCCCGTCTCCCGCTCGCATCGCGCCGCGATCGCCGCCTCTCCCTCGGGAGCAGAGAGGAGGAGAACGCTGACCGGCCGCGGCGCTGCTCCCTGGCTGGCAACGAAGCCTGGCATCTGCCGGACGGAGAGCAGGGGCCTCGTGAAAGGACCCTTGAGGCCTGCGAGGCACAGACCTTCCAGGATCCCAAACTATGAGAGACAGCGTCGAAAACATTCAGTGCCATCGCGATTTTTAAAACTTCCGAGTGTTCCCTTTGTCCCGGGACCCAATCACTAATTTGCATTCTCATCTTTCTCGACAGCAGGCAGGAAAACACGGCTCCCCACGCTGGTGGGGGAAAATGAAGTGGGACAGACCCGCGGAGGGGACGGTGACGGACTGACGGACGCGGACAGCCTGCTCTCAGGTTACAAACATACCCACCGCTGCCACTGCCACTTGGCACCCTCGCCAGTCCAGTCCCTTTGTGAACTCCACCCTCGCATCCGCTCTGCCCTAAGAGACAAGGCAGGTGCAGAACGGTATTAAAATTCTATATTTGGAGTGTCAATCGTGTGTCTGTTTTTAAAATAATAGATTAGTAATAATTTTGTTTCCATAGAAACAAAATGACTCGCCCAGTGTTTAATGAAGCCTCACAGGCTTCTGGAAGGGGAGTGTGGAATGTGTGAGGTTCCTTTCCTCCCTCTCCATCCCTTCCTTGTCAGTGCATCTGGAAGGCAGCAGATGTTTAGCAGCCCAGGGAAGGGAACGAAGCCGGTAGAGGAGCTGTCACGGGTGAAAAAGTTCTCCTGTCCATCTCAGGGGAGACTTGGGCTGCCTACAGCTGGGCAGGAGCAGCCACTGTGGTTTCTGATATCACCCAGCAAAAGGTACAGCTTTGAGGCACGAGAACAACTCTCCTTAAAAAGACCCTGACCCATAATGTCTCATTTCACCAGAGCACACTGTTGATTCCGGTGTGAACGTGGCGTGAAACATGATGGCCCAGACTTCTCACCCGGACAGGGAAGCTGCCAGAGCCTTCCAGGGAGAAGGCCCCCATCAATCCACACCATCAAGGCTGGGAGCGATGAGGTCCGGAGCAGGCTCCTGCCCTGTGCAAACCTCCTGGCAGGCAGGTACAGAGGTAGTAGGTGGGAGATGGGCCTCCTCCTGCCCGCTGCTGCCTCCGGTTCCAGCCGCAGGGGCAAGAGGGGGGCT